CGGCTCCCGGCAGGGTGGGCTCCACTCCTTGGTCTTCAGCTGTTGTTTCTTGCATGACAGAAAAAAGATCTGCCCCAGACTAGGGGTGCAAAGTTGACGCACGGGCCAGGTGACTGAGGGAGACGCCCATGAGCCCGCCGTGGGCACCAGCAGGCCCACCCTACCCTGTGCTTGGGACAAGGCCGGGAGCTGTGCTTGGGGCAAGCACGGGAGCCCTCCTTGGGGCCAGTCCGGCCTCCTGGCCCTGGGTCCTTGCCTGACCTGCCAGCCCCTCTCACCCGCGCAGCGGAGGCCAAGTCCCAAACCGGGGACTCACCTGCCCCTCCTAATTGATGATATCACCAGCTGCAAACCTGAAGTGCTGTTTCGGAATAGGTGAGGCTCCTGTTTCACGTTCCAGTGACCTATTAATTATTCACGTGAGCCTGGCCTCCTGTGTGGTGGGTGAGATGCTATCGGGCAAGTTATTTTGGTGACTTGGTAAATGGACCTGTGTTCTCTGACCCTGGGTCAAAGGTCAGCTACATTCCACAGAGCTCCACGTGCCCCCGTGGGGTGGTGGGTGCCGCAGAGATCAGGGCCGAGAGCAAAGACCCCTCCTCAAGGCCCTGGACCCTTCCCGCCGCCTCCGGGAGAGCGCAGGACGCAGGCCAAGGATGCAGGGACAAGTGTGAGGAATACAGCAGGCAAAGAGGGCAGGAGCGAGGGAAGGAACCTCGACCAAAAACAGGAGGAAAGCAAGGCGGAGGGACCCAGGCGGGCGCTGCTCACACGTCTCAGCTCCTGCTCGGACAGGGAGGGGAGCCGGGCAGGGAGGGGAGCCAGGCAGGACCACGGTCCCCTGATGGGAGCACACGAGTGGAGGAGCCGGGCAGGGCCACAGTCCCCCGATGGGAACACACGGGGGAGGACCAGCCTCCACCTTCACGCCTGGAAACGTGGTGGGCTGCACGGAAAGGTCTCCGCGCTGTGTCCGGGGGTTTCTCCACCCTCCCTGGCCAGAGACAGGGGAAGAACCCTGGCCCGCCTCATCCAGACCATCCCAATGGAAAACCTCCAAGAGCCAGCCTGATGCCGGCTGCCTACGTCCCCAGAAGTGAGCAGGACCGAGGGCGGAGGCTGTGTGGGAACGAGGAGGGGACACGGGGAGAAAAGCCAGCAGTCCCTAGAGCCCTCGTGGACTCCGGTCCCAGCCTCGCTGAGCACAGGACGGGCCTCTGGGGTGAGGAGGCTGCATGCACAGAGGACCTCACCCACAGGCAGAGCCTGCAGTCAGGGTGGAGGGTGGAGGGTGGCGGCTGTCGGGGTGCCACCCACGAGGACACCCAGTGTGAGCTAGGATTTGGGGGAAAGCTGGAGGCTGCCGTAAAGTGTCCGGTGTGTCACTTTCAGGCATCGCCGAAATGCCGGTGAGGAGGCAGCAGAGAGCAGGCGGCCGCTCCTCAGCCTTCCCTGCAAACAGCGGCCTGCAGAGCTCCTGGCATCGCACATCCAGGCCAGTCCACCGAGAATGGGCAGCTAGGGGCCGGAGCAGGGGCAGGAGGGGCTGTGACCTGGGGGCTGTGTGGCTAGGAGCCAGGGCTGGGTGAGCTGCTGGTCACCCCTGCCCGGCCAGAACCTCTAGGAGGCTCTGAGTCACTTGTTCTGCCGGGATAAGGTGAGTCCTAAACAGGCCTTGGCCAGCCACGTGCTGGAGGCCCACGCTGGACCCCTCTCTGCACCGTCCCCCTCACATTTTCCGGGGCTGGGCTGTCCTCACCCAAAAGCCCCGCCCCGGCAGAGGGGCTGCAGCCACCACCACAGCCAAGGTCCTGCTCGACCCCGCAGGGACCACGTCCACCAGGGGCTGCCGGCCATCCTCACCCAGACCCCCTCACAGACAGCTCCAGGGCCCTGCCCTTCCAGGCTAAACCACGGCTCTGTTCCTTTGATGCTGGCGTTTTCAGTGCCAGGGCAGCCACAACGGGGATGGGCTCAGGGTGTGGATGGTGTGATCATGAGAATGTGGCCACAAGAGTGGGCCCTGGCCTGGGCTGGTCTCTTCCCGGCGGAGGAATGACATTCCCATGGAGACAGCAAGGCTCCCTCAGCACTCGCGGGAGCAGGTGGCCTCCTTCCCCGTGAAGGAAAAGGCCCTAGACAGGAGGAGCCAGATGCCAGCCATCCCTCCCACACCTCAGCGCCCACAGGGAAGAGCCAGCACCCTTTCCTAACCCGGGGCTCAGGCTCCGGGTGCTTCCTGGAGGGAAGGCGCTACTCCTGCTCTTGTACTTCTCTTCCCAGCTGCAAAGCACGTGGGGACGGGGACGCAGGGCACAGGCACAGGACGTGCTCCTGACCGCGAGAGCTGGCACCCACCCCCCAGGCCCCCGCCACGGTGCACCTGTGCCGCAGGAGATGCTGGGCTTTGATTTTCTGGACAAGCTTTTTAAGACGCAGCGGACAGGCGACTCACGATAAGGAGAACGGCGTTTCTCAAACGCAGGACGCTCCCGCCGCCGGCTCCCAGGGGCTCTGACGCAGCCCGCGGCGCCCACCACCCGCGGCCTCGTCCCTGCACCCCAGGCCAGGCGAAGAGCCTCACTTATGTAAAGCGGAAAAGGAACTGGTGTCAAAGGACGTGCTAAAATAACCCAGTGGCACGGAGGCACCTCTGTGGTTATGAGCTTCCACAGCAACTGAGAACTTTCTATTTTCATTTGTTTTATAATTATGCACAAATTCTATTTTCATCCAATTTGTGGTCCAACAACTGAAAGAGAAAACAAACCCCCAAAAACCCCTCTCTTAACTGTTTACCTCACACTTGCACAGATATAAATTCACTTTGCCACAGATGCATCAGAAAACTTGTCAAATTACTAATTTCTCACAAATGAGACCTGCTGACCCGACGTTTTCCGTGCAGGGTCGGTTTTCTCCCGCATGTCAGTGGAAAGGGCTCCTCCTGTGGGACACAGGGCCGCCTCACCCATTGTGCTGCTGTGTACACAAGCCATTTGATTTGGAGTCATTTTTGAGGGTACATTTTAAAGATATTTTAAATTGCTGTTTCAAGTTTCTGGAGTCCTCCAGAACACCTGGATCCTCTTGATTGCATCTGTATTGATAATTTCAGCACCCTAAACCCAAGACACCCGGACGGCAAAACCAGAGACGGGATTCCAGGAGACACGGGCAGGAGGGCCTGGTGCTGAGCTGTGTTCGCAGGCACTGGGTCACCAGGCACCGGAGATACTCACGGGTGGGTGAAAATACATCCCCGGAAACTGACGGCTGCCTGGAGTCCCAGCTACCTGGGAGACTGAGGTGGGAGAATCGCTTGAACCCAGGAGGCAGAGGTTGTGGTAAGCCAAGGTTGTGCCACTGCACTCCAGCCTGGGCAAGAGCGAGGCTCCGCCTCAGACAAAACAAAACCAGACCTCAGTGCTCTCCACGCTCACAGTCCCACTTTATCCTCCAAACAGCCTTGCTTCCTGCAGCTGCCCCTCATCCGCACACGGTGAAGGGGGCAACGCAGCCCGCCCTGCTCCCGCGAGCACGGCCAGCACCCCTCACCAACATAATTTACAGCAAACGGGCCGGGCCGTTATTTCTCTGTTGCTTTATTTTCACTCCTTCTCAGCCTCACTTCCAGGCCCTTGTAATCTCCTTCCCACGGAGCAATAACAGGCTTTCAGTCAGCGAACACCGAGGCAGGAAAGGGCGGCAGACGCCTGCAGTGACCAAGCACAGCGCTGTCCCACCTTTTCCACCTGGGAGGTGGGGACTTTAAATGTCAAACCGGCTGCTGGGCGCCGACGCGTCTCCGGCTTTTCCCTGCTTCAAGCAGCCGACAAGGTAGGTACTAATCGGCATCATGCACGCAGACCACAGATGTCCCATCATCACCTGCATGTGCCGGCAAAAGCGGCCACCCAACGCCTGCCTGGTAATTCCACCTGCCGGCCGCTGCGCTGGCAAACAGCCACTTTTCTGCCTTTCCTCCACTACTTATCTAAATGGAAGGAAATAAAAACATGGGGCACCCCCCTGAGCGCCCCTTCCGGCTGGCATCATTCCCTAAACAACAGGGCTGGGGGGCCCGGGTTTTGCTGTTGGGGTGTGCTGGAAAAATGTCCTCCGTGTTGCTGTGTGGCCAGGAGCCCTGGAACCCTGGAACCTGGGACCTGGGGCCAGGCTGCACTTCCTGCTCTGTGGCCAAAGCAGCAGATCCGGGGCCTGGGGTCTAGAACTAATGAGGTAACAGGCTGATGGACGGAAACGCTGACACCCATGGCCACCCGGGGTCCACATGGACGCCTGGGGTGCACAGGGGCGCGGCTATGTGGGCAGACACTGTGTGTTCCCGGCATGGTCACTGCACACCTCCCTGGAGGGAGCCGATGGACATCCTAACTCCATGTGGCTTTCCCCTGAGGTGTGAACAAGGCGAGAAGTCACACCAGAGCCCGGGCAGTCAGGCAGGGACAAGGCTGGGACAAGGCTGCAGGGTTGCCTGGCCCAGGCCCTCTCTGAAAGCCGCCTCCTCCTCCTCCTCTCCTCGGGAAGCAAGTTCGGCCGTGGTGCCCCCCAGCAGCTCTGCTGAAAACAGGCCCCAGCCCGAAGCCCAGCATTTGCGTGGGCCACAGAACCTGCATTTCTGAGGACCTCCCCACCGACACCGCGAGGCTGGTGCTGCTGGCGAGAAACTCTGCCTCCAAGTGCAGAGGCTTTGGAGAGGGGAGAATCCACTCCACATAACAGCCACACTACAGGCAGCACCCATGGACATGGGACCCGCAAATCCGTAAACGAGAGAGGGCCTGGGCATGTGGAGGCAGAGGGGGAGCCCCTTCCAGGTCAGAGGCGGACAGCAGCTCCCGGGACGGACCACGAGGGTGCACGCAGCTGGCCTGGCCGGGACGGTCCACTTTGCAAGCACAGTTAGCGGTGGTGCCAGAGCTACTTTTGGACCAGAAAAGCGGCGAGTGGCGGGTGAGTCCGGCCGCAGCGCCTACCTGCACGACGGGGTGTCCTCCGGCCGACGCCTTCACGGCCCCGCGGCTGCCCTCCGTCTCGTAGTGAGCGCGGTGGTGGGACTTCGGCTGCACCTCGATCCGGAGCTCGTACGGGCCGGAGTGTGACGGCAGCTGCCAGTCCAGGGCAGGCAAGGTCGAGCTGGAAGGGAACAGAGGACACGTCAGCTCCACACACATCTCCGCTGGGATGCCCCGCACTGTCTCCGGCCGACGCCTCACCCCGAACACAGGTCCCGACCCGAGACCGACAAGCCCGTGTCAGCGTGACCTGCGGTCACCGCCCGCCTGTTCTGGAAACATTTTACAAGCACAGCCTTAACATACTCCTCTTCCTCCATGACAGGCTTCTGTCATCAGCTACTCAGCCCTCCACTAAGACAGGTTTTGAACTCACTGAAAATCTTTTTAAAAATCATGTAAGAGGGAGAAACTGGTCTAAGAACCAGGAAGCTCAAACCCTCCTCGCCATGAACTCGCTGTGCAGCTGCTGCCGGGCAGGAGACTGACTGGGCTCTTCATAAATGGGTGGGTTTGGAAGACATGGTATGCGCAACGCCGGCAGCCCCAAAATTCCATGACTGCTGCAAGACGAACAGAAAGGCCAGACTGAGGGTCAGCAGGAGGAACTGGGCGTCCACGGAGGGCCGGGCCAGGGGCCAGCGCAGCAGGTGGGCGTCGATGCTGAGGGCCTGGGGAGCCTGTTCATTATTCTGCACACAGGGACAGGACTGCACGACCTGGCAGGTGACAGATGCCGGGTCTGCCCTCGCAGCCCATGGCCCCATCCTTTCGGGAGATGAGTGTTTGGGGTGGAAGGCTAACGTAAGGTTCTGCCTGTGCCCTCGGCGTGAGAGTCTTCCTGAGGGCGTTCTGTAGGAGGCCACGGCAGACTGACTCAGCATTCTCCGGGTCCCCACCATGCACCTGAGGGGTTCTCGCATCTAGGGGGTGGCCTGCAGGAAGCACCAGTGCAGCGCCATCCATGCAGGAGCCGTCTTCCACCCTGTGCGGGAGGCTGGGCGCCTCCTCACCGCCTCGTGGGCGGAGCCTTGCC